CTGCCCTAACCCACTCCACATCACACCTCAGCCTCTGTCTCTTTCTTCCTCTCTCCTGGCTGGGACATGAGGGACTGGAAAGATGTGAGCCATAAGATGGAAGGATCCTGGTTTCCCGGGTCAAATCTCAGACATCCATCCATTCTGAGTGAACTACAGCACATGTAGAAGATAAACTTCATCATGTTAAGTGGCTGGAGGACCAGAGTTCTTATTAGAACAGCCCTTGCTCCTCAGCCTGACTCATACAGAAGTAGGAGACTGTAAAGGGCTTCTTAAAATTCCAAAAATGACTGTCTTCATTTTATCAATCGAGGACCAGGAAGTGAGGACACAGATGAGCAGAGGAGAGCATTTCTAAGCCTGTTGTCGATGGTTTAGAGGACATACCAGAGACTGCCTTTGTCTCCTACGCATCTGTTTCTCTCCAGGAAGTATTTATTGTAGGCCCTCAGTCTCTGCTCTACCCCCCGGTGTCAGTATATTCATAAGAAGCTTGTCACTTCATTCCTAGGTCACTAAGCCATGAAGGGCCATGTCTGAATTTATATTTTACCAATAACTAAGTATATCTGAAGAAAATAAGAGATAAATTGAGGGAAAACTTGCCAATGATTGAGAAGATGAACAGGTAATCCAGAACTCTGAGGCCTTTCCCAGTAGGGAGACTCAGTTGTCTCTGGTTCCAAATGGTTAAAAATAGGATTTCGAAAGAGCTCCAAGGCAAAGTCCCAATTGGGAGTTGGGTAAAATGGCCTGAAGGAAAGGTCAGACCAAGAATGCCAGGCCTGGTGGCAGATACCTAACATCCAAAGACATGGGTGGCTGAGATGGGAAAAATGCAGTGTGTGGCCAGCCTGGACCGAAAAGTCTGCAGGATAAACAATTCCTCAAAAATGAAATCATGGTCCGCTTTGTAAACAAAGCTTGCAACGCCAAAGTTTGAATCATTGTTAACTATTTCATTCACTATAATAAATAAGAAGGCATAACTTAACTATCATAAAAGAAAAAAAAGAATGAAAAAAAAAGTCTGCAAGACCTCATCTCTGTGGAAGAAACTCAGTATGGTGGTACATAGCTGTCATCTCAGCTACAATGAGAAGCCTACAGCGGGAGTATTAATGTGCATGCTGCTGTGGGTCAGGCGGTGGAGCGGGGCCTTAAGCAAGACCTTATCTCAAAATAACCAGTGCAAAAGAAAGGCATTCCTGCATAGCAAGTGCAAAGCTCTGAGTTCAAACCCCAATACTAAACCCCCGCCCCCGCTTCCAAAAAATGAATATGGCCTTGCTGTTAAAGTCCTTTAGCTCCAAAGAAATACTTACCAATAAATTGAAAAGAAGTGACACAGAAGGCATGGGGAGGAGCAAAATGAGAGAGAGACAGAGAGACAGAGAGACAGAGAGAGAGAGAGAGCCACTGAGAATAGGGCTGGAGCTTGGCTACAGGGAGACAGTAGAGTTCACTAAATTCTAGGAGATGCCTTCCCAAAGAAACCAGAACTAAGTTCTAAGAGATGCCTTTCCAAAGAGACCAGAAATAAGCTCTAGGGGATGCCTTCCCAAAGAGACCAGACATTGGCACTTCCATTACCCAAGGTTTAAAACACATTTTGTTCTAGAAGAAAAAAAATGGGAGAGAAATTTTGAGATCTGAGCTTACTTAGAATTACTAAATACAGCACTGAAAGTAACAATCCTTAGAAGAAGAAAATTGGTGTTAGACTTTGTAACTTCTGCTTTTTCGAAAGACTCTGCTAAAAAAGAGTGAGAGGGGCTGGGAAGGTGGCTCAGTGGTAGAGCGCTTGCCTTGCATGCTCGAGGCCCTGGGTTCAATTCCTCCCCACCACATAAGCAAAAAAAGTCAGAAGTGGCGCTGTGGCTCAAGTGGTAGAGCACTAGCCTTGAGCTAAAGAGCTGAGGGATAGCGCCCAGGCCCAGAGTTCAAGATTCATGACTGACGAGAGAAAGAAAGAAAGAAAGAAAGAAAGAAAGAAAGAAAGAAAGAAAGAAAGAAAGAAAGAAAGAAAGAAAGAAAGAAAGAAAGAAAGAAAGAAAGGAAGGAAGGAAGGAAGAAAGAAAGAAAGAAAGAAAGAAAGAAAGAAAGAAAGAAAGAAAGAAAGAAAGAAAGAAAGAAAGAAAGAAAGAAAGAAAGAAAGGAAAGAATCTCTGCAAGTTATATGTCTGAGAAAGGATTTATACTCAACATACATAAAGAACATTCACAAATCAAAGTAAGGAAACAGATAAATGACAACAAGGATTTGATATCACTAAGCAAAACAGACAAGTGACAAAGAGGCACGTGGAAAGGTGCTTGGTGCCATTAGAACTGGCAAAATGACCATTACAGCAGCAATAAGACACTACTATAAGCCTACCACTGTGGCTGAACTCACAAAGACATCTCCGCCCTGGAAGCAAAAGTGACAGGAATTTTTTGGTAAGAAGGAAAATGGGCAATCACTTTGGAGAGCAGTGTGACAGATCCTCATAAACTCAAACATGTATTCAAACAGTAACTCTGCTTCTAGGTAGGAAGGTAGGAGAAATCAAAACATGTTCACTCAAAAATCTATACACTGCTATCAATAGCAGCTTTAGTTGTGTTTTCAGATTTAAAAAAAAAAGTAGAAACAATGCTAACATCCTTCAAGAGGTAATATCCACATAATAAAATACTGCTTGGTATTAAAAAGGAATAAATTATTTCATTTTTTCTTGAAACTGTCTTCAGATGATTCCCAAATACAATATACTGAGAAAACAAGTCCGATTCTGAAGAGCATCTTCTATATGCTTTTACAAAGATTAGAGGCTGACAGAGACTCAGAGTTGGGGGAAAGGTTGATTCAAAAAAAAATGAGAAAAAGAAAGTTTTAAAACATGGAAAAGGTTTATCATAAGCAATCAGTAACGTCAATAAAATAGTAGCATTAAAAATGCACATAAGCCAAGTGCTGGTGGCTCATTGCTATAATCCTGGAGACTCAGGAGGTTGAGATCTGAGAATCATGGTTTGAAGCCAGCCCAGGCAAGAAAATCTGTGAGACTCTTATCTCCAATTAACCACAAAAACAAAAAAAAACAGCAAAAAAAAAAAACCTCAGGGCAGTGTTCAGGCACTGAATTCAAGCCTCAGGACCATTGTGGGGGGAGGGGGGATGGGAGGGAGGGAGGCAGGGAGGGAGGGAGAGAGGAGAGAAAGGGGAGAGGGAGACAGAGGGGGAGAGGGAGGAGGAAGAGGGAGCAAGAGGGAGAGAGGGAAAGAGACAGACACTCTCAGAGGTTTGAACTCTTGAGCCCAGAAGTTGGTGACCAGCCTGGTCAACAGAGCAAGACATCTATCTTTTAAAAAGTCTTTGGGAGCTGGGAAGGTGGCTTAGTGGTAGAGCGCTTGCCTTGCATGCATGAGGCCCTGGGTTCGATTCCTCAGCAGCACGTAAGCTGAAAAAGCTGGAAGTGGGGCTGTGGCTTAAGTGGTAGAGCGCTAGCCTTGAGCTGAAGAGCTGAGGGACAGCGCCCAGGCCCAGAGTTCAGGCCCCACGACCGATTAACAACAACAACAACAACAACAACAACAACAATAATAATAATATAATGTCTTTGGATGCCTCTCTAGAGCGGGAGGCAGCCGTCGATTGTCCTGATGGTGGATGAAGGAGAGGGCACTCTGAGTGGCAAGTGCACAAGGGCAATGCGGGCATTCCCGCTCCTCTGTGACAGCGCTTCTTGCCTGAACCCGAGACCCCTCAAACAGGTGACGCTCTGTGGAGGGGGACCAGGCATTGTGCAGTGTTTGTCCGCATCCCTGGCTTTCCCTTCGAGGGGGCCGGCAGCGGCCATGTGTGTGCAGTTATGATCATCAAAGATGTGTCTAAGCATCGTCAAACATCTGCAGGGATAAAAATCCCCCAGGTTAAAAATTAACTTCCGCCCCTGACTTAGCTGAGGAAGGCACTGGTCTAGAGTCTCCTATCTGAAACCCTGGTGCCCAGCGGGGTATTAAACGGGAGACCTGTGGATTTTAGAACGGCAAATGCACACCCATGCTGGAGTCTGCTACAGTCCCCAGCCAGAGCCCAGACTCGACTGTTTGCCAAGACAAACCCCTCCGCTCAGGTCAGACCTGGCTGTCAGAGAGACCACTCCAGGTGCCTTTACACTTTCGATTTGCAGTCTCGGCCCAGACTGAGCAACTTGCCTGAGGAAAGACAGACACTGGCGGTCAACAAATCATGGCAGACATCTTGGCCAGAAGCATTTGGTGAGTTTGATGTCGCAGTGACCCCCTGTCCCAGCCGGCTTCCTTCTGAGCCTCCTGCTCTTGGTCATTCTTAACTCTTTTGTTTGTTTTGTTTTGCTTTATTTTTAATTGTATTTGTTTGTAAAGATGCTTTTGCAAAGGGGTTACAGTGACATGAGTAAGGTAATGAGGACCTTTTTGTGGAGCATTGTTACCCCTCCTTTGTTTTTCTCCCACTATCCCTTCCCTCCCCCACTTCCCCTACTCCTCCCCCGTCCCGGCTTTTTTCAGTGTACAATAATTCTTCCCACTCTGCCCATCCATAGATTTACAATCAGTGATGCTGAAGACCCAAGAGTTGGGGAAGGACAGACAGGAAGTTGATTATTCAGAGTCTCATGATTGGATCATTGGTGGGAGGGACCAAGGTACAGTCCGACCTTCCAACCCAGATGAGATGACTCAGCTTCCTCCCCCTTCCTCCTCTTGTGATCCCCCCCTACCCCCATGCTATCCTGATGGTGGGCACCCATTCTAAAACAAACGCCACAGGGTCACATCTGTTTACTCAAATATTTGTCCCCCAAATCTGAGCTGTGAAATCCATCAAACCTCACCAGCACGGAGGACATGGGTTTGCCTCCAGCGCGTGAGTCCTCTGCCGTGGTGATGGGGACCCACGGAAAGAGAGACGATCCACAGGGCACAGGGACCCGTGGTACCCGGCCATCTGGGGGCCTTGCATCCTTCAGCCGGCTGTGGATGCAGGAGAGATTATTTTTTTCCTGAGCTTGGTGGAGTTCCATATGGTCGAGATCAAAGGTGTTGCTGGGTGCATGGTTCTGCTTTATTTCCAAGCACTGCTGTTAATTAGAAAACAAGATCAGAGGCAGTATTAAAATCCAATTAAATTGATATGAACAGATTGCCAAGTGATGTTCACTAATGTATAATTGAGCACCATGCAAATTTCGGTGGCTGGCTTTTGTTTTTTTCCCTCCACACTCTGGAATGAGTGATGAGACCATGAAGTTTCCCTTCATTGTAAAAAAACAAACAAGTTAATGCATTGATCTTGGGGGTTTTGCCCTGGTGATTGATGAAAATGAGAGGGAAAAATGGGGGAGAAATGTGACTTTGGGAAGGGAGGGGCTGGAATTCTTCCAGCCTCACTCCTTTTCTTCCCTTTGCTTCTACATCCATTTCTTAAGTCGGGTGGCAGGCCTACTTTCCTGTTGGCATTCCATCTCTAATGATACAGAAGACACTCCTCTGAATCTCCAGGATGGATTAAAAATGAATTTGAGAAGTTTGGAGATCGACACTCACTACAGGTTTAACAAAAAATAACTAAATAATCTATGGTCAAGTAGATATTGCTTTAGCGTTAATTTCTTGTTGGACATTTTTATAACAAAAAGAGGAATCCGCCCTGCCATCCCTGGCTATGTAACCTGGGAGAATGTATCAGAAATGTATCAGAGAAGAGACCTACTTTACCAATATAGGTGACCTTGCCACCACCCCAGAAGAAATTGTGAGCATCCACCCGCATCAAGAGTGGCCTGGTGGTGTTGCAACATCAAGCTGTTTGCTCACAGTGGCTGCAGCAGGTTTGTGAACAGGCTGTCGGTGCAAAGGTTTTTTTTTTAACACAAAAAGTACCACCAAGGAATCAAAAAACCCAACAACGGTGGATGGCAGTGTCTACATATTCATGATATGCTTTGCAGCATTTGAGTTTTTGCTCTGACTCCCTTTAGGAAAAAGAAAGAAAGAGAGGAGGGGGAGGGAGAAAGAGGGGGGAGGGAGGGAGAGAAGGAGGGAGGAAGGAAGGAAGGGAGGGAGGGAGGAAGGAAGGAAGGAAGGAAGGAAGGAAGGAAGGAAGGAAGGAAGGAAGGAAGGAAGGAAGGAAGGAAGGAAGGAAGGAAGGAGAGGAGAGGAGCTTGCTCACAGAATTGCAGCCAATATGTGGCGCAATGAGGAAGAATCAGACAGAAACAAGACCTTGCCCTTGACCTTACGCCATCCAGAGTCAGAAAGCATGTGAACAAACTAGCAGCATGAGAACAGACCGAATGCTGGGCAGAGGCCCAGCATTCATTCCCTTGGTTTCTCCTTCTAGTCAGAAGCCTGCTCTCCCTGACATTCTGGCCCTAGTGGGAGGCTCAGCCTCCCTTTTGCTGGGCCCAAAGATAAAAACAGGCGATCCAATTTGGGCCAATGACCTGTGAAGCAAGGAGACCCTCCCTGGGACCTTCCTTGGGACTTACTCCCTGGTAGAGTCTTACCAGATGGTGAAGAAAAGCCCAGGGGAAGTAAACGCTGGGATAGCCACCATCTTGCTCAAACCCAGGGGTGAAGCTCCCACATCAAGCAGGACCCAGGGCATCACAAAGAACCAGAAGCAAGCTGTTACTTTCCTCCCAGTATTCAGCCACAGACACAGACACACACACACACACACACACACAAACACGTGCACACACATACACACACATGCACACACACCTCTGGGCTTGTTATTCTACAGAATGAAAAATCCCCTCCCTCCTTGTGTTGGCCAGTTTCCCAAGCCTGACAGCATACCTGAGAAAAACCAGCATAAAAGCGGAAGACTTACTTTGGCTCATCATTTCAGAGGTGACTGTCTACGGATAGCTGCTTCCATAACTTCCTGTAAGGCAGGACAACCTAGTGGAAAGGTGTGGTGGAAAGCATGATTTCTAGGAAGGGGGCCAGGGGGAGGCAGGGGGAAAGAGGAGGGGAGGGAGAGGGTCCTACTAGAAGGAGCATGGGACAAGCCATGCCCCAGGATCTTACTTCCTCCCACCAGGCTCCACCTCCCACCCCTCCCAGCAGTGCTCTCTGATCAGGAAGCCACTCAGGGACCCAGGCAGTCAGCATCTTCACTAGCCAAGCACCTCTCAATGCCTGGATCCGCCATCCGGGGACCAAGCCAGCACCCCCACGAACCATTTGGCAGACTCGCCATACCCAACCCATAGCATGACACAGCCTGTGTGGACTAGACCTTCTGGTCAGTTGCCAAGAGCAACCCAATTGGTCCAGCATGCAAAACAGCAGAGCAAAGGGCAGGTGGAGTCCCACCTGGGCCATCAGAAGATGCTTCTTGGAAGCTCTAGACTCTTTTATCACAGTAACCACATACTGGAGAAAACTCAGCTTAAAGGAGGAAGACTTCCTCAGTCTACTGCAATCGTGGGAGACGGCACAGGTCCAGCTGCCGCTGAGTTCAGGGAAGGGGCTCATCAGAAAGCCAGGAGACGGGGTAGGACCATTAGCGACCCTCTGCTCATGTGTACAGGAAGGAGAGGAGAGTAAATTCTGTTTTCTGAGGAAGCTTGTTTACTTCTTGTTTGTTTGCACATGGCTCTGCTGAAGTGGAATTCACTCACCGTACAATTCATCTATTTCATTCAGTCATTTTTTTTGGTACATTGAGTGTTGTTCAACCATCGTCTTTATCCAAAATTTTGAATATTATTTTCAACTGCTACCTGCAAAAAATAGATATATATTTATATATATAAATTACATATTGCAGCAGGAAATAGAGGAAATGCTCCTTTGGAACCCTGTGAAGTGATCTTTTTGGAAATTGTTATAACCACATTTTATGTCTGATTTTTGTACATTTTGTTTTCAGAGCAGTTCCGTGCGGTTCTGATTTTATTTCCCTTAAGTAATGACTGAGCTTTCCTCATCATTTTCCCAACTTCTAACTACCAACACTCTTAAGTAAAATCCCCAGTGAGAACAAACACTCAAGTAGACAGCCCTTAGAAGAGACAATACTACTCTGAACATCAGCTGATACACTCAGAAGACAACTCATAAGGGCTGACGTGCTGCGTCGTTTCATTGCGTGCGTTTGTTGTAGTCTCAGTATTACCGTTGGCCATAAAATTATAAACCAAGCAGAAATCCCGTCCCAAGCCTTGAATAAGATCAGATGGGGCGGCATTGCTCATCGCAAGAGCACCCACATAGGTGTCTAGGTGATGCCATTAAATTGAAATAACACTTCATTGGTTAATGATCCAAGTCAATACCATCAGGTGGAACTTGGGAGAGATTTAAATTTAAGGGCCAAGAGTTTTATGAATAATTAGGGTTTTCCCAGATCCTTTTATACTAGAACTGTATTTTTAATAAATATGAGTAAACATAATTACCCACACTTGAAAAAAAAAGGAAGTTGGTTAATTGGGAATAACTCAACTGACTCCTCCTTCCACGAATACAAACAGGGTGATCCTAAGAGCAGGCCAGAGAGTGGCGTTCATTCAGGGGCCCATCTTGGCACTTCCTGAGAAATAACTTGCTGAAACAGAGGGTCCCAGGCACGAAGCACCTCCTTCCCTCCGGAGGCAGGCTGTCTTACCCCAACCTTGCTGACCAGGAAGCCACAGTTCAAAACTCAGTCACTACACAGGCAGCAATGGATCTCAGGAGGCTGAGATCCAAAGATGGCGTGCAGCTAACCTGGGTGGGAAAGTGCTCTTACCTCCAGTTAGTTAACCAGTAAAAAAGCAGGCTGGGCACTGGTAGTTCATGCCTGTAATCCTAACTACTCAGAAGGCTGAGATCTGAGGACCATGGTTCGAAGAAAAGCCCCAATCAGCCACTCAAAAGCTAGAGGTGGAGCCATGGCTCGAAATGGTAGAGCACTAGCTTTGAGCCAAAGAGCTCAGGGACAGTGGGCGCCAAGGCCCTGAGTTCAAGCCTCACAAGCAACAACAAAAGTAAAATTCCAGAAGTGGAGCTGTGACTCAAATGATAAGAGTGCCAGCCTTGAGTGAAAACACTAAGGAACAGAGCCCAGGTCCTTAGTTCAAGCCCACTAGGACTGGCACACACAAAAATGGCAGTAACTCTCTCAGCTACACTCCTACCATGCACGATGCCACCTCTGCCACTTTACAGCACAGTAAACAGACATCTGTCCGTCACTTTGTCCATCTCTGTCGCCTCGTACCTGGCAGGGTCTCTGTCTGTGCAACAGAGCGTGGCTACCATTGTTTGGCTGCCGAGGGACAGGCTGCCAGCTGAGCCAGTCCGTCTGCTTCCAGGAAGCACCTCAATCCCATGTTCTTCTCTAGCCAGTGGCCCGGCACCAGGTAAGCCAAGGCTCACCCCGGTTCAGTGGCCAACTGTCTATCATGCAGCAGGGAGGCCACCTGGGACTTTCAATGGCAGACAGAGAAAACAGAAAGAAGGACCATGGACCCCAAGATATAGGATACCTGTGTCCAGATCCTCACTCTGCTGAGCTGGGTGACCTTGGGCAGGTCACTGACCTTCTCTGGGCCTTATCCCACCCAATGGAGGGAGTATCCCAGATTTAGGAAGCCAAAGCTCACCATCACCCCCTCCAAAAGGAAGAGTTTCCTTGGCACACGTGGCTATTCCCATGGAGCCTTGGCAGTGCGGGCGCAGCTCTGGCTGTGAACACCCCTCACTCCTGCTGAGACACGCTTCCATGCTCCGGGGTCTCTGTCCCAACACGGGGCTTGGCCAGGGTGGCTGCACAGTCTGTGAGGCCCAGGGTTTTAAAAAATAAATAAAAATGTCGATGCAGAAAGCAGGAAAAACGGGCCTTGCGAGGTACTAAAGCGTAGCTCCCAGCTCCTCTCCACCGCCCCCACCCCACCCCACCCTGCCCCGCCCTGGGCACAGGCTGCCACCGTGTCCTGAGCCAAGACATCGAGACAGCCAATCTCACGGTCAGCAGGAGATCAACGGCGCCAAATAATTGCCGGATGGCTAGATGACACTAAGGCCCATCTCCTGGGACAGGGCAGTGGACTTTGAACTGTTTCACTGTACTGGAGAGTATTTGCAGGAGATCATCTGCTCTGAAGCCTGCAAAGCTTCTGCGCATGTGGACCTGATGTTCAAGAGGAGCTGGCTAGGTAAGTTGCTTCGGTGCCTCAAGGTCTGGGGCCCTGAGGAGGGAAATGACCCAGGCACCACATCATGCGAGGCTCAGGGCCTGCAGGTTGGCACAGGGCACACGCTGAGCCACCACCACAGCCCCACAGGAGGGCGGCTCTGTGGCCTTCGTCCTTGTCTCACAAAGCAAGATCCGTGGCTTCTCTGACCAGAGCCTGAATGTGGCACCCTGGAAGAATGCAGTGGGCCCTGTGGCTGGGGCTGGGCTGGGGCTGGGCCGGGGCTGAGCAGGGGCTGGGCCAGGGCTGGACCAGGGCTGGGACTGGGCCGGGGCTGGGCTGGGCTGGGCTGGGGCTGGGGCTGGGGCTGGGTTGAGACTGGGCTGGGCCTGGGCTGGGCTGGGACTGGGCTGGGCCTGGGCTGGACTGGGACTGGGCTGGGCTGGGGCTGGGGCTGGGCTGGGCTGGGGATGGGGATGGGATGGGATGGGCCTGGGGCTGGGGCTGGGACTGGGGCTGGGACTGGGACTGGGCTGGGCTGGGGCTGGGGCTGGGCTGGGGCTGTACTGGGCTGGGGCTGGGCTGGGCTGGGCTGGGGCTGGGGCTGGGCTGGGCTGGGCCTGGGCTGGGTTGAGACTGGGCTGGGCCTGGGCTGGGCTGGGACTGGGCTGGGCTGGGACTGGGGCTGGGGCTGGGGCTGGGGCTGGGCCGGGGCTGGGACTGGGCTGGGGCTGGGCTGGGCCGGGGCTGGGCCAGGGCTGGGCTTCCCCTCCAAGGGGAGCTGCTGGGAACTGCTCCCCACTCTCCGGCACAGAGGCCATGGGAAGACGAAGCCCCTGGTGCTGAGCCGCTGCCCCACCCCCTCCTCCTGGTTCCTGCAGTCCTTCACATGTGGACCTCCTGCCCCGACTCCTTGTCCCAGGTCCCCGGAGAACCACGTCAGGCACCGAGTGTAGCCCCAAGGGAGAGGCTCATGGGAGAAGCCATGGCCAGCCTGAGAGGTAGCAAGCCAGGGCCACTGGAAACACAGATGCAAACGCACAGCGAGCCACCAGCAGCCACGGCTGGCAGCGGGGCTGAGGGGCTGACACAAGGACCTCCTCCATGCAGGTGGGCCCTCGGGCACGGTAAGGATGTGATGTGATCGGCGCCCAGGGCCTAGACTCTGGACAAGAGCCTGGAGCAAGGCCACGGGGGTGGTGGAGGAGTGCAGCACAAGAACACAGGACAGAAGCGCCCAGGGAGGGCAGCCCAGAGCCAGCCTGGACCTGGCAGTGTTCCGCCAAGTGACAGCTCAGGGTGGAGAGGAAGGCAAGGCCAGTGGGAAGAGCTCACCCCACACAGGCAGCTGTTGCTAGGATGGTGGATGGGCCAAGGGGAGGCCTCAAGGCTGCAGCTCCAGCCGGGAGCATGTCTGGAGCCAGTGATCTAGGTCGACAGTGTAGCCGATAGAGTCACCCAGACAAGGCCGGGGTAAGCAGACACCAGATGCAAGTGAGCAGTGCAGTACACAGATTCCAAGTTGTCAACAACTCTCATGCATCTCCAGCATGGCAGCCCATTTCTGTTGTTGTTGTTGTTGTTGCTATAACAAAATACCCGAGACCAGGTGATTGTAAAGAAGAGAGGATTTTTCTGGCTCATAGACTAGAGGCTGAGACATCGAGGAGTCTGGTGCCTGTATCTGGTGAGGGCCTGATTCTGTATTACAGAAAAGCTAGGCAGAGTACATTGCCCTCTCGGGTCTCCTCTGACAAGCCACGAATGCCACCAGGAAGCTCTGCCCTCATGACCTCAGCTGACCCTGGTCCCCTCTCAGAGGCCCCACCCAAAAGGAATTGGTATATGACATTCAATACATGAATTTGGGGAAAACACTGAACACCCACCAATCAAATAAATAAAAATTAAAAAACTAGTATTCTTCCTTTTTTTCTTATCCACTGAATAAAGTTATTTTTGAAAATAAAAAATAACAAGATTATTTATGGCTTTGACCAGGGAGCAGGAAAAAATGGGGCTCAAAACCTGTTCATGGAAGTGTACGGTGGCCCCCTCTCAGTGGGGTCGATTTAGCAATATCTAACAACAAGCCAGAAAGATACACTTCCCCTCTAAAAAGTGTCCTCTAACAACAGGAGACATAAAAAGATTTCTCTACAAGAACATTACCCACAGTAGTGCTAATTACAGCAGACACCAAATAACCAGGTCAAGCAATTGGAAATCAGATATAAATAATACATACGATACCCAAAGAAAAGAGTATTTTCAAAAAAGATATGAAAGACTTGCACTGTGAAAGCAGGTTCAGCAGATGAGAAAGAACATAAATAGCAGTAAAAGTTCGATACAAGCCAGGCACACACCTGTAATCCTAGCTACTCAGGAGGTTGAAATCTGAAGACCATGGTTCAAAGCTAGCCCTGGCAGGCAAATCTGTGAGACTCTTATCTCCAATTAACCAACAAAAAGCTGGAAGTGTAGGTGTGGCTCAAGTGATACAGCACCAGTTTTGAGCAAAAACAGCTAAGCAAGAATTTAAGGAACTGAGTTCAAGCCCCAGTACTGGAACAAAAAAGACTTGGATGCATTGATAAACCACACACACAAAATGTATTGCTTTACTTAAAAACCTGTGTTCCCTATGGTCCGTTCTCAGAGTTCTGCTCTATGTAGGTAGGACTGTTTCCCAGAGAGCATGAGACAGGTGGGTAAGTGAATGGATGGATGAGTGGATAAATAAGTGGTTGGGTGGGTGGATGTATGGATATATGGATGGAGATGGAGGGGTGGTGGGTGGGTGGGTGGATGGATGGATGGATGGATGGATGGATGGATGGATGGGTGGTGGGTGGGTGGATGGATGGATGGATGGATGGGTGGTGGGTGGGTGGATGGATGGATGGTGGGTGGGTGGATGGATGAGTGGATGGGTGGTAAATGGATGAATCATCCATGAATCCATGGGTTGTAAGTCCAGCCCCTCTCACTCTTTTTCCTCCTGCTATGGGACGATGAAGCACGAAGATCCTCTCCAGATGTTGTTGCTTTGCACTTGGATCTTCTCGCCTTCAGAACTGTTCATTCTACATGTCCCAGTTCTGGGTACTTTGTTACAGCAGCCTGAAGTGGATAGAACTTGGAATTTGCCTTCATTCCTCAGCTTTTATCTCCCTCCAACATTAAGAATAACTCAGCTTCACTCCTCACACTTACAGTGTGAGGCCTGCCCTGTCTGATGTCTACCAGCATCCCCATCCTTGGGCTCTTCCCACATCCTACCCTAACCCAACACCCTGCGTGCACCCCTCCATCTTCTCCTTGCCCAGCCTCTGTCAACAGAGAGCAGCTCTCTTTCTGCTTCTATCACCTCCTCCTTGAGGCCCCAGGCATCCGCTCAGGGTCCTGCCTCTGAGATCTGGGGATGGCGGTCATATTGGGCAATGCCTGTGAGGTTTGGCTTACACTGCTATTCACACACTAGCAGGAAGGGAGCCTGGGCTCATCTATAAAAGGGGAAACATGGACTGCGTCCCTGGGAACCTCATCAAAGCCATGACCACATTGCTTGGATCTTGGTCCTCTGGATATATTACTTTTGCCTGGATCTTGTTCTTTCTGGGTATATTATTTTCTCCTGTCCCCTCTCAGTCACAGCTCATTCCTTCAGAGTTAAGGATCAAACCCAACCACTCAGCAAACAAAAGTAATAGATGGGCGTTTCCTGAGTCCAGTTGTACCCAGATGTATCTGCCTGCACCTGACAGGTGTCCATGTCCAGGAAAATGAGGCACACTCACAGGTTGCTAGATCTTGAGGGACCTCAGGGAGATTGTGGTCCACTCTCCCATGCTTGCCAGCTTGCCATCACGGTTCCCACACCATGCACATCACCAGCGGCAAAACAATAAGAACACAAACCATAGGGAGACTGCACCGGAGTGCTATACAGCCATCTGAACGGAGCCAAGCACCGATGCCAGAACAACACTGGATGAGCCTCCCGGGCGTGCTGAGGGAGATCAGCTAGGTACAAAGGACATTCAGCATGATTCCATCCACATGCAGCTTTACGGGGAGGAAATCCATCCGGGATGAAACTAACCAGCAGTAGCTGCCTTTCACTAGGGCCAGGAGGGAAAGGCGGGCCAGCAGGTGACACAAGGGAACTTTAGGAGGTGTGGCGATGCTCTTGTTAGAGTATCGCTTGAAGGAATACACACATTTGTCAAAATTCATCAATCTTTCCACGTGGGACTTTGAGATCGTAAACATGTGATTATACCTCAGTTTAAAAATACCATTGGCACAAGCACCCAGGAAGCAATCTGCAAAGACACTGATGTCATCACAAAACTTCCACGCTCAATGGCCCCTTGGAAAGCCGCAGCCCAGGTGTGCATGACCAGCGCCTGCCACGGACCCTTCTCAGAATAAAGTTTCACCTGCAAAAAAAAATAAAGCAAGATAAAAAAAGGAAGTGTTAAATGAAGTTAAAAAATGAAATAAGGAGGAAAACAAAGTGAAATAGAAAAATAAAAATAATAATAAACTAAAAATAAAGGACATGCGATGACAGAGGAAAGGCATTGTTTTGAAAGTGATCAAATATTAAAAACAGATTTGTGACCTAGAAATGCCTGCACTTCTTTATTAGCGCATTAAATAACAAGCCCTCCGGAGCGGTCTAATGACTGTCATAATTTCAGAGTCATAAGGAGAGGAAGTAGCATTCAGAAATTTCTACAACATCTGTGATGGAAAAGGGAAAGAGCCAGGACTCCTATGCAAGCAGAGAGGACACCACACCTGCAGGTGGCTGTACCTGTCGCCCAGGGCTCCCGGTATCTGGGTGGCAGGAAGGACAAAGGAACTAGACCGCAGGCCCTTGGCCTCGGGTTGGGGACCCCTGCCCTCCTCCAGCCCTGTCTGCCCATGGAGGAAGAAATGAGGTCATGAGGGGACGTGTCACTCCAGATCTATGCAAAGCCTGAATTCAGACCAGGTGTCCTGTCCCCCTAGGCATGTGTCCTAAGATGTTTGTGGTTTTCTGGGCTGGGGCAGGAGAAATCCTTACACTCCACCCGTGTGCACACGCATGCACGTACACACTTGTGCACTCTGGCTCAGCCTGATTCAATCGTGCAGAGCTTTCTGTGCTGGCAAAAGGCTCCTGGGCCCTGCCACTCCGGCTGGACCCCAGCCCAGAATGTGGGAGGAGACCCCCCCAGCAGTGGTCAGCAGGCCCATCCACCCGGCTGACAGCCGGCAGCCTGGCAGGCACGGGTGCCCACTGAGCCCAGGCCTCTGCCCGCATTAACTCCCTGCTGGGATAATTCTTCTCCAGCTTTTTTTTTTTTTCTGGCCACCAAGTGAGCCACCACCACACTGCCGTTTTTCATCTCGTTAATTGAGTCATTTATTTCGTTAAAAGGTGAAAATGTATCAGGTCTGCGTGCCACGTGCTCGAAGGTGTATTGAATGATACATCAAATGGCCACAGTCTGGGGACCTCTCTATTTAGAGACTGGGCTACGGGGGTCGGGTGGAGGAGAGGGGGTAGATCCGATGCGGCTGCTGAAAGCAAAGACCCACCAGTTCATTCCCAAGCAGCAGTGCTGCCGGGGTGAGACTGAGTCCTTCCTTGCAGAAAAGCACTGCCGAGCCAGGGGTTCAAAGTCAGGCCCTGTGCCTTACTCATTCCTGTCCGGGACACCCTGGCGACTCTTGGGCCTGAACCCTGCATCTTCTTTAGCCAGGGCTCCCTGGTAGCCAGCTCTCAGTGTCCCAGGCCTCTGGGATGAGATCAGTTGGGCCCGCCCCTTCCCACCCCACCCCACATCAGGGTCTTTCCGGCACCCTAGAGTCCACCCTTTGCAAAACACCCAACTCCACAGGTCCCTCCCATCCCAAGAGCTTCCACGCCCCATCCCCCGGCCCTTTCTAATAAAGCCCAAGACCTAACACCCGGGCCTCCCAAAAGTCCAAGGCCCCAGCGCCCGGTACAGGTGGGGTGCTCCATTCCTGGGGGCTCCAGCTGCCTCTGCAACCCACCGAGAGACCAAGCCCGGCACAGAGCGAGGGTTTTCTGTGTTTCAACAGGAACTGGAGAAAGTGCCACGGTCTCCCTTGGATGGTAATGCCTAAGAGCCAAGGGGGCCCAAGGGGGCCCGTGGAGTCCTGGGCCTTCTCCATCCGAGTGGCCGCCATAGGAGTAGAGGTCTTCTAAAGATGCCCGTGCTGCCCCACCCTGCATCTGGTCACGTGTTGTGGTTTCCCACTTATTCCTGAGCAGCAATGGTGTCACTTTCCAAGGACTCCAAGAACAAACGCAGCAGAGGCTTCCAGTCAGCCTGACCTCGGGCCAAGGGCTGTAACTGGGCCTATTCACCCCTCCTCCATCTGACTGGGAGGAGCCCTGGGCCTGCTCACCCCTCCTCCATCGGACTGGGGGGAGCCCTGGGCCTGCCCACCCCTCCTCCATCTGACTGGGGGGAGCCCTGGGCCTGCTCACCCCTCCTCCATCTGACTGGGGGGAGCCCTGGGCCTGCCCACCCCTCCTCCATCTGACTGGGGGGAGCCCTGGGCCTGCCCACCCCTCCTCCATCTGACTGGGGGGAGCCCTGGGCCTGCCCACCCCTCCTCCATCTGACTGGGGGGAGCCCTGGGCCTGCCCACCCCTCCTCCATCTGACTGGGGGGAGCCCTGGGCCTGCCCACCCCTCCTCCATCTGACTGGGGGAGCGTTTTCCTACACGGAGCACCCCTCCACCATGCTGCCTGCGCTCTTTGTCCAGTCTGCACTCATGCTGCAAGTGATGGCGGATCTGCAGGCATGCAGCCAAGAGGCTGGACACCCATGGAGGAGGCTCTAGGAAGAGGTGGGACCGAAGGGGTAGGGCCACCAGCTCTTGCTCCCTCCAGCTACAGACTTGGGGCTGCCGCTCCAGCTGTGGCCACCCCAGGCTCAAATGTCCCTCCATTGGGCCATCCTGTCCCCAGCTCCTATAGCCATGTCACTGTGTGGCCATCACACTGCAAACTAAAGGGCTCTGGGGTCTATACTTCCCCAGAGGGAAGTCCCTGGCTTGGTGTTAGACTGGAGCCCTTGCAACCCACAAGTCCAATCTCTAAACTGGTCACTGGAGTGATTTTTAAAAAGAGAGGTTTGTGAGTGAGATGTCTCACAGTCTCCTCTCTGTGTCTCTGTGTCTCTATGTCTCTGTCTCTGTCTGTCTCTGTCTATCTGTCTGTCTGTCTCTCTCTCTCTCTCTCTCTCTTCCTCATTCTTTGGGCTGGCCTGCCCACCCCAGCCTCACCTCTGGGTAGCAGCCACAGAAAAGGATAGATAAACGGGGTCTTCTAGAACAGGAGCTCTGCCTCAGCTTTGACTGACCGCATGCCACAGGGCAAGCTTCTCCAGTTCTCTGTGCCTCCGTTTCCACATCTGAAGCCTAGGTGTTCTAATCACTGACTCATGGCGAGGATAGCAGTAAGGGACGTGGCCCTTAACTGCACCGTGGTTAAGAATACGTGACTGGAATCTTATCACCACCCTATCTGCACCCTTGCCCATCCTGTGCCCCTCTCGAGCCTACCACCTTCCTAGAATGTTCAGGTTTCCTACCATCTTGGACTGCAATTGGCCCCTGACTCTGTTTCTTCCCTCCTTCCTCTGTCCTGGTGCCCGGTGTTGAATGATTGGGCCTTGCTGTATATCTCCTGAGGAAGGAGGGTGACAGTTGATGATTGGCCATGCAACTTCACAACACCATCACCATCAGAATCCAGCTCCTTCATCAGCATGGCAGGAGGCTTTGACCTAGTCAGTGAGTGACATCACGTCACAGTCCTTGGTCCAGTCCAATGACCTAGCTTCCTCCCATTAGGCCACCCCGTCTGGAGGCTCTACTTCCTGTCATAGCCACAGACGGGGGGACCTGGCCTCCAGGCCATAGCCTTTGGGGGACATTTCAGATCTACCTCCTGCACCAAGGCACTTACTCTTCAGCAAGAGATGAAGCTGGTATGTTGGAGAGGAGTCACGCGGCTTGTGTCACAGCTGGATGATGACCTCGCAGAGACCAGATGCCAGGTCTGAGTGACCCCATAGCCCACTCTTTGTGGTGGGCACCCAGGAAGCTGCGAGTAAGAAGAATGGCCATGTTGTCTCTGGCCCAGTCTCCCTTGTATAATAAGGATGTCTGTCATTGGATTTAAGGGGGGTCATATTTCAAGATCTTTTTCTTAGTGTCATCTGCAAAGGTCCTTATTTCAAGTAACATTCCAAAGTTCCACGTGGACATCTCCTACCTGGGACGTCACCCCTTCACCCAGTGCCCGGGTCTAATTCCCTTCAACAGCCCGGTAGAACAGCAAATTCTGACGCCAACCTCTAAACCCATCCATATATGGAGTAAATAGGTGTGAGATGTGGCTGACGCCCCACATTGCCGCCGGCCCTCATGCTGTGGCTTTCCAGTGATTTCCAGGTCCAAGTGTCTGCCTGGACCTGAATCTCAGACTTAACCACCTCAGCCTTGACAATGTTCACACATCCCTTCTTCTCACAACCGTCCCCCGGCCCAGGTACAAGGCTGTCCCCCTGGTGCCACCCTCCGGTTGGGCCTCTAGAGTCAGTATGAGGTCCTCCTCTCCGGCTTTCCCAAGGGCTCCCATGCCATCCCACGTGCCTACCCCATTAAGCCCTTGTTCCTGCAGGTATTCCTTGTATCCACCCCCATGTTTGCCTTGCCCAGACCTGGGTGGGTTCCTTGTGGGCATGGACCCCTGTCGGAACATCCCTGAATCTCTACCCGCCATCTTACTCTAGCATGAACCCTGTAGCGGCCACACCAACAACAACCAAGGCCCAGTCCCACTGACAACATGATTGATGTCCAAAAGGGAAGGGAAAATAAGAGAAGACATTTGTGGTCATGCTGGTACGAACCACTGAACAAGCTGAAACCCCTCATTTTCCACAGGGCCTTTCCCTAATGGGAACTGTCCCGCCCAAGACCATAAAAAACAGCAACACAGTAAGAAATGGGACCCGGAACTGCACAGTTCTGTTCCCATTCTACTTCTCTGCTAGGGAGCAGGAGGGAAGCTGAGAAGGAAGAGGAGAGGAGTGTAAACTAGAGGAGAGGCCTCTTTCTGGGAATACTGGTTTGCAATTAATAGGGAGCCCAGGGACCTCATCCCTCTCTGGCATCAAGCCCATCCTTGAAGTGTCCTCCAGTCTGAATTAGGAGATACTTTCCAGGGCTAAATGGGAGAGAGCCTGCTGAAGATGGGCCTGAGGATGTCAGTGATTCAGGAGTCTGCTTCTCAGCTCAGGGCGGGCTGCACCTTCGTTGAGAGGTGGAAGAAGCCAATACCAGAGGCTCACACTTGTCATCCTGGCAACCTAGGAAGCTGAGAGGCAAAAGAGTATACCTCCA